GCGCGCGGCCTTTGGCGGGCTGGGGCGGGGGGCTGTTCCCTGGGCCGCGGTGGGGCGGCTGTGCTAACGGGTCCCTAAATGCCGACTGAGTATTTCATGTCAGTAGCTGTGCGGTTAAGGTGTGCGTTCCCCCTGCTCGGGCAACGCGGGCTGCAAGCGCTCTTCAGTAAAAGATACACTTGGTGAGGTACTAGTGCCTGTGTGTGCACACGTATCTTTCCCTTGCACAGTTTTCTTACGTTCTAACAATTAATTGTATAAACACTCTTTTCTTCTACAGCCTTTGCATAGCATATGGATCAGCCTGGATATGAATTAAGAACTAAGGAGGCTGTTTAACCATAGACTTTTCTGAAACAGTTGAGCATCTTTTGGTGTTGAAGGAAGGTCAGCACAGCCTTGGCAGATGGTTAGCTGGCATCCCACCCCTCGCTTCCCCTGCCTTGGGTCAGAGACGGAGGTGCTGCCTATGCTAAGTCCCCTCCTGAAATCTTGCATCTCTTAGCTGCAGCTGTAATAAACTGAACTAGTTGAGGCTATATTTTTCCCACGCTCTTTTTTTTTTTTTTTCAGAAGGAGTGAATGATTTATCAGCAAAACATGTAGTCCCCCTCCCTTGTCATACACCCGTAAAAGCATTTAATCAGGGAAGGTTTAGGAGAAGTCTGACGGTAGAAGAAACTTTCAGAACAGCAGAGTAATAACATTGCACACTGGTTTATTTTGCAACTTCAGAAGTTTTATCTTTATTTGCTTTAGTCTGTGTTAGGCTTCTTGCAGGAAAGAAATTAGTGTTTGCTTCCACATAAGGGCGCTTTGCAATTCTGCCCAGCACTTACAGGCTGCGCTGTAGAGAGACTTACTTTGTGACAGCGATGATGTTTTGTATTCCATTAGCTGGAACAGTAACATTTTGTGGCCAAAATTTGGGGTGGGTGATTTGAATATTTATTGTTATGACCTCAGATAAAGAAAAAACTTAATACCTTAATACTCTGATTTCTTCTTGTATAAAGAATAGAGAGATAACTAATAATGCAATGGAAATTCTTTTTTTTTTCTGAGACTTTTATTTGTTTCTTTTAATTTTTCCAATATCCCATTGATGAAGAAGGCTTGTAAGGTGATTTACAAGAAGGTAATTTTTAAGTGTCTCTTTAGACTTTAAACAAAGAGGAGATGTTCTCTTCACTGTAATTGGTGTTCTGTCACCTGCTTACTGCAGTTTGTAGCTGTTTTTTCTTTATATGATACTGTTCTGCAAGGTACAGCTCACTATTATCAAAAGGTCCAGGTCCCTTTTACCATAGATCCATGCAATGGTTTGGGTTGGAAGGGACCCTCCAGATCATCTAGTTCCACCCCCCTGCCATGGGCAGGGACACCTTCCACTAGACCAGGTTGCTCAAAGCCCCGTCCAACCTGGCCTTGAGCACTGCCAGGGAGGGGGCAGCCACAGCTTCTCTGGACAACCTGTTTCAGTCTTCCTTACATCCAATCAAAATCTACCATCCTTACATTTAAAACTGTTTCACCTTGTCCTGTCACTACAGGCTCTGGTCTTCCCATCTTTCTTATAAGCCTCTTTTAAGTACCAGAAGACTGCTATAAGGTCTCCTCAGAGCCTTCTCTTCTCCAGACTGAACAACTGCAACTCTCTCAGCCTGTCCTCATAGGAGAGATGTTCCATCCCAGTGACCATTTTTGTGACCCTCCTCTGGACCCACTCCAACAGGTCCATGTCTTTCCTGTGCTGGGGGCCCCAGAGCTAAACTCAGCACTCCAGGTGGGGTCTCATGAGAGCAGGGCGGAGGTGGAGAATCTTCTCCCTTGACCTGCTGGTCACAATTCTCTTGATGCAGCCCAGGATACAGTTGGATTTCTGGGTTGTGAGTGCATATTGCCAGCCCATGTCCAGCTTTTCTTTCACCAGTACCCAGAAGTCCTTCTCCGCAAGGCTGCCCTCAATCTCTTCTTTCCCCAGGCTGTATCAATACCAGGGGTTGCCCCAACCCATGTTCAGGACCTTGCACTTGGCCTTGTTGAGCCTCATGAGGTTCACATGAGCCCACCTCTCAAGCCTGTGAATGTCCCTCTGGATGGCATCTCTTACTTCTAGCATCTCTTCTTTCAACTGCACCACTTGGCTTGGTGTCATCTACAAACTCCCTGGGGGTGCATGCAATCCCACTGTCTGTCATCAATGAAGATATTAAATAGTATTGGTCCCAATACAGACCCTGAGGGATACCACTCATTACTGGTTTCTACTTGGGACATTGAGCTGTTGACTGCAACTCTTTGGATGTCTCCATCCATCCAGTTCCTTAGCCATCTAACAGTCCATCCATCAAACTCCTATCTCTCCAGTCCTTCACCTTTTCCTTGTTTTCTGCCTTCTGTCCTGTCAGCTCTGTAGCTCACTGGACCTTTTCATAGGCCACTTTAACTCACCAGAATAGCAGAAAACTTTGTGCTTTCCTGAGTTTTCTGCTGTTTTGTGAGTTCATTTAGTTTGTGGAGAGTGTGACGAGGGTGTGAACTGTTAGGGAAGGTAGGGTGAGGGAAAGAAGGGAGACCTCCCTATTCTTCAGCAGCAAGCCATTACGTCAGCTCATCTACTCAAGGAGGCATAACCATAGCCTTAATAATTATGCCAGGTCCATAGCATATTTTGCATTACATTTTTCAAGTATCCAGGATAAAAGAAGGGAAGCAGTATAAAAGGTTTACAACATGACCCAGTAAGCTTGAAAGTGAATTCCTTTGTATTTTCCTATCTGTAATGTGGATATTACAAGTTGCTACAATGGGTTGTTTCAGTACTTGATACAGCAGCCTTTTAATTGGCAGTTTTTCTTGGCAGCTGTTGATCTGATGCCCAATTTTTGTACATTGTGCAAGGATCGCTAATAACTCACTGTAATGTTACAAATAATGAAAAGTACAGGCAGGCCACTTGGTACCACTCTGCGTACTAGTACTGGTAGACCCATTTTATTTGCTTTTCATGTTTATGTCTTTGAAATAAAAAGACAATTAATATTTTTTTTTAGTTTTTATTGTATTCATTAATGCAATAGAAGTCTTGGTCTCCAGTACTATAGTACTACTGCTGGGTGGTTATAGCTGGAGGAGGTATTGTACATCTCAGAACAGTATTTAAGTTTTAAAAAGAACAGAAGTAACAGAACGTAACTGAAAAAAATACTGGCTTCCCTTTTGAGAGGGATAACAGGAAAAACAAGGACTTGCAAAGAGATAAATATGTTTTATAAACCCAAGGCATACTTAAAAACTCGCAGGTTGTTAGTGTTACTAACCTTTTTGAGTGTGTGTTGTATTTATGGGGTGAGAAATTGCCTAAAGTTCCAGTCATGTGATGTATGTATTTTATTTACTCTGGAGAACTGACACTGCTTCAGGCCAAGGAGATGACTAAAAGTCCCCCAAACAAGTTAGAAACATTTTCTTACTAGCTGTAGTTATGTGTGGTTGATACCTGCACAATCTGTATTTAAAAAAAAAAAAAAATCGAGTTCCTGGCTAGACTAAATACATGATAGTAAGAGTGGAGTCACAGTCTAATAATGCTATTGCCACTGCGTGAAAAATTGGAGAGCTTGCCTTTCCTTTATAGTCCAACAAGCTAGTATACTTTGAGCAAATTCATTAATTTTTACCTTGAGCCCAGGACCATGCTGTTTCTTGTACACCTTCCAACTCTACTTTGAAAACTTAAACGTGTGGTGTAAGGCACATGGGTTGACATTTTTATGTTCTTACCTTCCATTATAACTACTAGATTTATAAGTCAGGGTATACTGTCTTTACATGCTGCAGCCTGGTAATTCTGAAAAGTGCTACTGAACACATTGAAAGTGTCAATAGGACACACCTCCATCTCATTTTGACGCTCTCTTAAGTTGCCATTGGAGACTGAAGTGAGTTGTTACATTTTCCTACTGTGCTTTTTTTATTCATGCTCTGTCGGTTTTTAGCATTCTGTCCAGTTCTGTAGGGTCTCTCCTTGCCCAGTATTATAAATAGTTTTGGGTTGAACTGCTGTTTACACAGGTCTCCAAGAATGCCTTGGGAAATTTATTTTTTTCAAAAGGAACTGTAATCTGAGTTAGTGCTGTAGTGTAAGAAGGGGTTGAAAGGATATCATGGTGTGGGAGAGGATGTTACTCAATGCAAGTAATGGAAGGGGAAAAGTCATGGCCGAAGGAAAGCTATTACACTGATGATTTTGCAATTCAAATTACCTTAACTTTCTCCTGCATCTTAAAGAGATAGGTGTTTATTCTAGTTAGTTCCATCTGAAGTCAGCAGAAGTAGAAATGGTTCCCTGTAGTTCTGAATCTGTGTTTTTCTGGCTGATTCAAGGTGTAGTTAGCCCTCAGTACCAGTGACGGAGTGGACTTAAAGAGCTGCCTTCTGATGAGCACCTGATTCATACCCAGTTTGTCTTCCACAAATGTGTATGTGTGGTATGTGAGAAAGGCAAAATTTGGCCCTGAATGTGAGAAATTATTTGAAATAGAATATTCAATGTCACTCATAAAATATCCAATAGTTATATAGCAATGATAACTGTGAAAGAGCTTTAGTTTGCTAGGAGGTCTGTAACATTAGAAGTTTTGAAAAAGTGGGAGTAACAGCAGGATGCCCTTCTGTAGTTAAAAATTGTTACATTTGGAGGATAAACTTTTAATAGTTTATTATGAAGTAAATTCACTGCTTATAAAGATGTAACTATGGTGTTTTTTTGTTGGTTGTGTTTTTTTAAATGTTACTCAGCAGCCATCTATAACTGCATGGGATTATTGTAGCCATTTTAAAAGAAGTTCATTTTTTCCGAGGGTTACATTAGAGTAAGCTGAGATGCCCAGGCAAGGGATCTACATTTCTGCAAATTGTAGTGCTCTTGGAAAAGATGTGAGGCCTTGTGGAGTGCAAAGAATAGATAGGCTTGAAAATTCAAGGCTTAAAGCTGTTAAATCTATTACATGATTTAATTTGAAGTCTTGAGTTCATAATCTGCACTGGAAAATAAGTATATCCAGTTCAGAAAATACTATTCTGAATTAATTTCCACAGAATATACAGGTTGTATAATTGTTGGTACATGTTTTTCCCCCAAATTTAATCTAATTTTTCTTTAATTGTCTTATTCACTTCTTATTTTTCAGGAGTCTTTGAAAAATCCTTAGTGGTCATGACATTGTTACAAGTGACATAAATTAGCCAGTGGCTCAGAATGATGGATACCCAGAAGACTACAAATGGTTTGCAAGTGATTGGAGAAGGGACTGTTATAGGGAAATCGACACTCCACATGGTGGGGTATTTGGGAAAAGTCAGTTGAAACTTGTTTTACATGTGTGCAAAGTTCATATTTTTCTCTGCTTTGAGAGATTTTTAATTGGTCTTAATTTTACAAAAAAAAAAAATCTCTAAATGATTTTCCACGGAAATCTATAACAATGGCGAAAGATTATTCTAAGTAAATCTGTGCCTATGATTTTTTTACTGGCACTGTTTTTACGACTGTTTGCATTTCTATGAAAATTGATTTGTCTTTCAAAGATCTGAGCTTGTGTTACCTGGCAATAAGTGTCCTGTGGTTTAATTCAAGTAGAATGAAATGTTGCATAATTGTGTTGTTAAAGATACCTTATTAAATATTTGAATATTTAAAACAATAGATAAATTTATTTAGAACACTCTTACATATGAATATATATATATCTTATAAATATTTTTTAAATCTCAATCTAGTTTACTTTTTTACATTGTATTGGGTATTATATTTAGAAGTTGCACATTGGTTTTCTATCTTGGTATGCATGTATGTATGTATGTCTTACCTTGGGATAATATATGAAATACATAAATTCATGCTGCTTTTCCTTTTTTGTTTTTTTTAGAACTGTAATCCTGTGGAAACAACTGCACATGAGTATTGTCCAGTCTGCAAAGAGAAGGGACAGATCCAAGTTTTACGGACTTACCGCATTAATTTTCAAGAGTCCATTTTTCTTTGTGAAAATCCTCAGGTATTACATGAACAGTTTTCTTTGGTTGTGCAGAGGCGTTTACTTCAGCAGCCACACCTCTTTAAGTTCAGTATTTTGGTGGTGGTAAGCAGACTGTTGAAATAGGACCCCTTTGAGTCCATATGGATGATGTTTGCCTGTATATAGAGAAAAACATAACTAACCTGTGTATATGCAGTATTTAGGCATAGATAGCTACCCTAAAGAATTAAAAAGAGTAGATTAAAGTGCATAAAGGAGAGTTTCATGTATGTAACAAGGGAACACAAGTGGTAATAAATAAATCTTCGTACAAATCAGAATAGAAGGCCAAAATTTGATGATTGGTAATACACAACTTTTGCAGATGTGAGTCTCCCATTTTCCCTTCTTTAAGTCTGGGTAATGCAAATAGGTTTGTAATTATAATTAAAATGTTTTTCTTTTTTTTTTTTTTTTTTTTCCCCTTTTAAGTTTAACCTTTGGCGAGTTTCTGTGCTGCTTAATATTTGAGTAATGATTTTGCCACCTCTCCTTTCTCCACTGCTCTGTGTATGTGGGGAGGGCATAGCAATCCCATGTTGACTGATGCCCTTAAATTAGTAGAGATGAGACTAGATGTGGGTCTCTGAGTTGCTTTTCCCTTCCTTCCCTGCTTTTCAGTAATCATAGTATCATTCTGGAGATTGGTGATAGCAATTTTACTGTATTCTAGTTGCAGAATAGCTATATATGTTAAGACCCTATCAACACCTGGTCTAACAGATTAGTCTAGCCTGAAAGATAGTTTTGGTACCAGTAGTCTCTCGGGCACAAGATAATAATGCCAAATCTGTACCCTAAAGGAATGGATTTAGCAGAATAAGAGAAGAGGAATCTGCTTAGCAAAACTAGGTTGTCTTCAGGGGTTGAAAGCATTTACTGGGAAAGTAGTGGTCATTATCACTATTGATATATTTGCGGCACAATTGCTTGTATGACAGTGGTTGGATAAAACACCCTTCCTGTCCTACATATGTTGAATTTATTCATTGATTTCATTAAAATATAACTTTACAGAAGTCCTGTATTCCACTTTAAGAGTACAGTTTGTACTTTGTATAGCTCTTGTCCACCTGAAATTGCTTTGTAGATTTCATTGTAACTTTCTTTCTTTCTTTTAGTGTATCTACCCACTTGGTTATAAACCATTAAACAGCATAATTACTTCTGCTGATTCAGAAAATCATCAAGTTCCATCTACTCATAAGAAGAGGAAATTGTGTGATATCAGTGACTTTTCTCCTGTTGAATCCCATCCAAAAAAAGCAAAAACTAATGATGTAGTAAATGTTGAGCACACTATTAATACAGACCCTGTTGTGGAACGCTATCAGAATAGTTTATGTATTCCCAAGTCAAGTCTACATAACGTGTTACAAAATGACCAGCAAACACCGAGTAACACTGTGGAGCCCTGCATGCAGAAGGTGGATTTTGAAACAACTACCACCCCTACCAGCTCTCATGAAAGTCCACCTAAGACTTCTAGTCCCAGAACACAACTCTTAACAAATTCTGAACTTTGCTCAACAACATCTGAAATTTTGCTCAACGATGATAAATATTCCACTAATAACACAGATTTATGTCTTCAGTGGAGAAACATGTATAATCTTTGTTGGTTAGATTGCATTTTGTCAGCCCTGGTACACTTAGAAACATTAAAATTTGCTCTAGCAGAAGAATATAATAACGGAAAATGTTTACTCCAGGAACTTTTAACAAAACATAAGCAAGCAACTATGCTTCTGAATACCTGTAAAAAGAGTAAAGTAAAAGGTGAGTAAATTTAGCTGCTTTTTCTTCATATTCACAGTGATCTGATCTGCTACAAATATGAGGAATTTATTACAGTGCACTAAAATATGCCTGTTCTACATCAAGATCACAAAAGAATGAGTTATAACTTGTTACCATGAATGCTTTATCTAGCAGAATTCTGGTAACCTCTGAAGTTGTTTCTCTTGGAGCAAACATACACACATTGAAAGCATCAAACACTAAGCATTTCTTGAATTTTTTTGTCATATCCCACATACAGAATTTGTGAATTGTTTATGTAATTAAGCCTTACTTTGTTTCCTTCCCCTCTGTTCATTAACATATTAGGATGCTGTTCTAATCTTAATCTTTCTGTTGTGGTTTATATCCTTGTATCCTTATATCCAATGGTCAGTTGTCTTGTCACACCAAAAGTAGTAAAGCTGGGAACATCTCTTCTGGCTTCAGCTGCGGTCATTGAAGGAATGCCTCCCATGAGGTCTGCAAGCTGTGCTGTGGATGATAGTGCTTCCTAACCTGTTTCAGTCAAAATTAGTCAGACATGTTAACCTGGTTCATATTGTCTGGAAAAAGGTTAGTGAATACTCACATGGATCCAGTTTAAGACTGTTAAACTAAGGTCTGTTTCTCCTGGTAAGAAGGATTTAGGGATGTTGATTGATGTTGCACGTCATGACCCAGCAATGTGCACCTGCAGCCCAGAAAGCCAGCCATATCCTGGGCTGCATCAAGAGAAGTGTGGCCAGCAGGTCAAGGGAGGTGATTCTGCTCTTCTGTACCACTCTCATGAGACCCCACCTGCAGTGTTGTGTCCAGCCCTGGGGCCCCCCAAAAAAAGAGTGATATGGACCTGTTGGAGCAGGTCCAGAGGAGGGTCACAAAGGTGATCAGGGGGCTGGAGCACCTCCCTTATGAGGACAGGCTGAGAGAGTTGGGGTTGTTCAGCCTGGAGAAGAGAAGACTCCAGGGAGACCTTATAGCGGCCTTCCAGTATTTAAAAGGAGCATACAGGAAAGACGGGGAGGGACTCTTTATCAGGGACTGTAGTGATAGGATGAGGAGTAATGGTTTTAAACAGAAAGTAGCTAGATTCAGATTAGATACAAGGAAGAATTCTTTCCTGCGAGGGTGGTGAGACACTGGAACGGGTTACCCAGAGAAGTTGTGGCTGCCCCCTCCCTGGAAGTGTTCAAGGCCAGGTTGGACAGGGCTTTGAGCAACCTGGTCTAGTGGAAGGTGTCCCTGCCCATGGCAGGGGGGTGGAACTAGGTGATCTTTAAGGTCCCTTCCAACCCAAACCATTCTGTGATTCTATTAATCCTCTTGAACTGATCCATTGGTGTTGTAAATCTGAACTTCTAAGAGATCATCTGTTAGAGTATTAATACAGATCTCTGGTTAGCCAGTACCTTTCATGAATTTTGGTTTTTTTTCAATAGACATTCCAGGAAAAGTGTGTATTTGACTATCTAGACTATAGTTGCAGAACAGCATTACATAACTTGAAGTCTTTCCTGTGAAAAATAATAGGTATATCAAAAATGGTTTAATCAACCTTTTGAGAAAGCATATTATTTTAGAGAGGAAAAAAAAATTCAAAAAGATTCTGAAGTAGTTCATAATCTCTTGTTTGCCAGAAAGTCAAACAGCTTGGTTTAAGGTTTTCAGCTATTACCTAGAAGCCCTCTACCATCACAGAACCTGAGAATTTTTTCTTTGTTGCACTGTGTTTGCAAAGGAACTCTGGTGTGCAAGGATACTTAAATGGGGATATTAGGTGTTGGAATACAGTGTTGTTTGAGGCAACATAAACCTTTTCATTTCCAGAAATTGCAGCAAAACAAATTAGTTTATTTGGGCAACAGTAGAGAAGGGATTGGATGAAGCATATTGTTGTGGAGAATAGGTGTAGTTACTCTGTCCTTCTGGGTAATTTTTAAGCATCTTGTACACAGAGTTGTTTTTAAAAACAATCAAAAGCAATAGCAAGAAACTTCTTTTTACTTTTTTTTTTTTGTATACATAGATTTTATAAGTAATAAAGTTTCAACAGCTATTCCAAATCCTACCTTTTAATTTGTGCAAGTTATGATCATGATTGTGTTGTAGAAAGTTAGTTCTTGCTTGTGCTTAAAGAATGTGTTTGTGTAGAAATAATGTAACTTCTGATCTTAATGTTTAGGTTTTAAAATCTACTCTTAATCTCCAAATCTCCAGGGTTTGTAAAGTCTGGTTACACTATCCTTAAATGTTGTTACTGTCTACCTGTTGGTAGGCATTTAGCAATAATTTAAGTCAGGTCAAGTAATTTCTGGTTAGCAGACTGAAGTAAAATGTGTATAACTTGTGTAAATGCTTCTCTAATTTTCAAATCAATTAATACCAAGCATTGGCTGTTTTACCAATAGTTTTAGGCAAGTATGGGTCAATATGAAAGGCATCAATTTGCAGAGAATGAGTGCATGTTAGGGGTACATAAGTGTGTGAAAGGGTAGGGGTGTTACACATAAATACATGAAGACATATGTATTTTTTTTTCTTTAGATGTTCTTCCAAAAGCAGAATCTCATCTCAATGAAATCAGAAACAGAATGTTTACATGCCTTCAGCCTCGGCTTAGGAATGAATTGAGTAAGTAATTAGTGCAGCATCTCAGTGTTTACTTTCAGGAAACTACATGTGAAGCCTTGTATGTCACTGCGTAAGCATGTCTATGTGCATATGCGTACAAGACAGTTTGCAAATACATTTGTTTTTATTGGTGACATGCACATACTTTACAGTGTGATCAGCTGGTTTGTGCCTTCATTGTTTTTGACATTTTAGAGAGCATGTTTTCATCTTTGTAACTATGTTGTAGTCATGAAATTGTCACTGATAACAGCCTAATAACATGGATCAGTCCCTTTGCTGTGAAGATTAGAAATACAGCCTTAAAGGGATAACTTGAATTAAGATCATAGCAATAAGTTTGTCATCTTCCAGTTTGAAGTACTGAAAGCTGATTTCAAATATTCATTGACTGTTTTTTCTGCCCCATCTTTGAAGACACAAAGGAGAGTCCAGTGTTTGCACTCCCTCTACTTTTACAACTGGATCAGCAGGCTGAGAAACTATTCTTGCATTCGTTTTCATGGAAGTTTGAATGTGTATGTTGTGGCTACAAATATCAGGACCGGTAAGATTTTTATTTACGTAGCTTCTGTGTAACTGTTCTACTTTACTTTTTAAAATCTGCATATCATAGTTGATTTTATTCAGATTTCTGGGTTTTGTACAGCTTAAGCTTGTTGGTGAAGTTTTACGTCATCCATATTTTTAGGCTAGCATTTGCAAATAGTTTACTGCTATGTCATGTCTTAAGAAACCATGTTATCACTTAATTAAGAGAGAAATAACAGGTAATTGTGTGAGTCCCTGGCCATGCTCACTCTGCTATTTTGCTGAAAGTATACAAATTGGTGTAGTTCTAAACAATATATGCCTACTACACTTCTACTGTTGAAGAATATCTGTACTACTCATTTGAATTACAAAGAATCAGAGATTCTCTCACGTAACTTTTCTACTTTAAAATAGTATTACAGGGAAGTAATTTCTTGAGAATTGATTTAGTTCTGTGTAGCTGCAGGTACAAGCTAGTAATTTAGGCTCATTTTAGAGTCAGCAGAATAGTACAGAATAGTCAGCAGAGAGACACCTTCAGAAGACAGTTCACTTTACTTGAAAAATACCTGTTTCCACTATTTTAGGTTTATACAATAAAATTCTAGATCCCCAAGTGAGATGAGATTAATGCTGTCTATTACACTGACAACTAATGTGTAGTCCTGATTAATAGGATGTGTTCAAGAGCCTTTGTTACGTACTGTGTTTTTTAAAAAAAAGTTAAAAAAAAAATCTGTGTTAAACTGAATATAAAGGAAGTCCTCTCTGTGGCTAATGAATGAATAAACTATGTTATTTCACTTTCATATCCCGTATATTGTATTTTGATACAATATAACCTTTGTGTAATCTGTGCTCTGAATGTACTGGTTTTTGAAAACAAGACCTTGTATAACATGGATTCTGAGGTAATTTGTTACCGCTTCCTTCTCTCTTTGAGATTCTGTATTAGCTATTAAATTATGCAGATCCTGGTCCAAGCTCTCTTACATTCAGCCAGACCCAGTACAAGAGGAAACAGAGATAACATGCTAAGGGAGAGAGCAAATAATGTGAAACTGAAGGCCAGGGACCTGCTGAAAACAAATGGTGACTGATACCATTTGGCAGAACTGAATTCAATGCTGACTTGGACGTGATGCAGTCACAGTGAAATTCACACAAATGGCATGAATATGAATAGAATTTGGCTTTGTCATAACGTTTTTGTAACTTTTTTCTGGTAAAGTGTGTGTATTTATTGTTTTCTGATCAGTCATTCAACTCTACTCTTTTTCTTTGTGTGTATGTGTCTGTGTCCAGATTGAGGAAAACATTAACAACGTTCACAAATATTATCCCTGACTGGCATCCACTTAACGCCATTCATATTGGACCTTGTAATAACTGTAGTGATAGATCTCAAAGAAGACAGATGATTTTGGAAAAGTAAGTTTGAATATGTGAACTTGAAAATAAACCACATGAAATTCTGGGACTCCATTTATTGAACAAATCGCTTTCAAAACCAAACTATTGTCTTGGGTTTACAGAAGTTCTAAACTTTGATAAATACTCAGTTTTCAAGATTTTAGATCATTCTTAAATGCTGAAATTGCAAATAGTGTTTAATAAACATGAAACATAGAGCAGTGTTCAACATGTTGACCAACACAAGTGTTTGAGCCAGCTCATAAATACTTACTACAAGTATTAAATACAGAAAACTAATATCCAGCGTCAGGCTTTTCACAACCCCTGCCACTGGTGGATAAAACTGTTTGATCAGCTCTTCACTAGTTTGACTTGGGAACAATGTTCTTTCTTACTGTGGATCTGGCACAGCTGTCTCCTGTCTTTTTCACCTTTTCCCCAATCCCAAAATCCCTTATGTGGTGTTGCTTTTTTTCCCTAATCTATAACAAAATGGAATATCCAGGTGGGGTATTCTTATGCCTTGACCGCTGTGCAGTCTGAAGAGTCCTCTGTGGAAGTAGAATAGTAAGGGCAGAACTACATACTCTTTGAGATGCCTTACTTTTTCACTGGGAACCTTTGCCACTATTTTGTTGTAATAAACTGGCTCTTTATTGTTTTTTTATTAGAGTACCCCCAATACTGATGTTAAATTTTGTAGAAGGCTTGCCACATAACAACCTGAAGAGCTATTCATTTCAGTTTGAAGAAGACACCTACCAAATAACATCTATTGTTCAGTATCAAACAGATAAGCAGCACTTCATAACCTGGTCTTTGAATCCTGACGGTAAGAACCATAAATTCTATTATAATACTTCATGAGTCTACATCAAATACTGGTTTATGGGTTACTGCAATAGTCTCAACAGTCCATACATAATAACAAGGATTTCTTTTGTCTTTATTCTAAACTTCATATTAAAATTTTGTGAATAATTGTGGGAACTTTGTGACTCAGGGTGAAGATTTCAGTTTAAGTGATTTGTTCAGCAGTGTTCTGTCCTAGACTGTACTCACCAGCAAGTTATTTGGATAGAATTGTTTCCCTCCATAAGTTTGTAAAAGTGAGAAAATACAGTCTGAGTAAGGCTGTGGGGTGAATGGTGTTGGTTATTTTGAAGCCGGTTCTTAAGCCATTCTTGGCTGGAAGCAAGGGAGCCTATGGGACTACCAGCATTAATGACATTTCATTTCTGAACTTTACTGCACCAGAGGGGTGGGCAACATAAATCCATGTTAGAAACATTACTAATGGTATGATGGTTGTACCACCGATGGGATCTCTCTAATCAGAGAAGGTGAAAACTTGGCATTTTGATTCTCATGCTTCTGTAGAGAGAATGGAGTGCAGTCTTATCAAGTGTTGTGACAACATGAAAATTGCCTGATTCATACTGCCAGAGTTTAAGAAGAAATAGGAGGAGGAAGCAGATGGGAAGTGACTAGTTAGGAACATCCTATACATCATACATATCTATTTTTAAATTCTTAAAGCTGTAAAATATTTGCTCATGATCTGTGAACAGTTTAGAGACGATGAGGCAGATTATTAAAATGAGCAATTTCTCTTAAACCCCCATGCCTCCCACCCAGGCAATGTATAGGTCTACAGAGAAACTGAATTTGAGAGGTGGTTCTTCCCTCAGACATGTGCAGATGTTTTCAAACAAGATGTCAGCATCATTAGCTCAGATAAAAAAAAATTAGCTTTGCTTTTTCGTTGACCTACTCTGACCTGTAATAATATTACTGCAAATTCTGATTGTGTTTGATCTTTTTACAGTGGAAATATCCCAGTTTTCTCTGACATAATAAAGAACGGAGGAAAAAACCTTTTATTTTCTGCTTGTCAAGGGAATGGGTTAATAAAAATATTTGACAAGTGTCTGAGGATAGTGACTTCAATTTTAAAAGTCTCTGAGTCTCTACAGTGGTTGCTATTTATTTTTCAGGAACTTGGCTTGAATGTGATGATTTGAAGGGGCCATATTGCAAGAGACATAAAAGATTTGAAGTTCCTTCTTCAGAGATTCATATTGTTATGTGGGAAAAGAAAACTTCACATGTGCCAGAAGAACTGAATTCACAGTTGCAGAGTAAAAATATTGAAGCTTTTCCTCTTAATAATATACAGTCAAATTCCACAGTGTTGCACTGTGGTTTTGATAACACTGTAGACAAAATACCTGCAGAACATCACAAAGAGGATTCTGTGAAAACTCCAGATAAAAAACAGCAGTGGGTAGCTGAGGATGAAAGTGGTGTTCATCATGGTTTAGAAAATCTAACACATGATGATCTTGTAACACTAATGCTTGAAGAAATTCAAGTTGACTCAGAAGGTAAATCACTGCTGAACAGACAGATGGTGGGAAATAACCTTGTAGAAATGGGCACACCGCAACAGCAGGAATCAGCTCTTTCACCTAACACTCCAGATACAGGAGAGTGTGCTGGAACTAGTCTATCTATGAACAATACATGTATGTTATATGAAAATTCCAGCATTTGCTTACCTCTAGAAGAGTTGAACCTAGCAAATATTACTCCTGATCCCAAAAACCAGAACCCTGACCCATCTGACTCGTCGCTTGCTCAAAGAACAGATGACAGAACAATGTTACCTAAACGAGAACATGGATTAAATCCAGAACTACAACAAAACAAGAAGTTGTCACCAGTAAAGAATAGTATACAAAAATCACCTGACTTGAAAGATGAAAGCAGAATTGTAGTTAATTCTCAGGTTGCCAATTCTGCTGCCAATAATTCCTTTCAGCCTTCACACAAAGACAAAAAAAGAGGATTTGTAGGAAGCTGGGTAAAGAAATTATTAAGCAAGAGTACTCCTTTTATGCCTTCAAGTGCCTCAGCTCTCAAGAATGAGAGAAGTTGCAAAACTCCCTCACTGCAAAAAATAAGTGAAGTGCGGTTACCAATTAAGAGAGCAAGTAACTTTGGTGGATTTCAAAGCAGAGGTACAAACAAAACAACTGAGACCACGAAGTCGATGGTTCATCAGAGTAATAATACTCATCCTTTATCAAATTTCAAAGGTTTTTCTCAAAGCACTCATCTTCCAACAGCCAGTCATACCACTATTGCAGGTCCAACTTGGAATAAGTCAGGAAGTACGTTGGGTACCTCAGGTAAAGTGACTCAGTTCCATTCACCTAGCTATAACCCTGGGAAGGCAGAAGAGTCAGACAGTGACAAAACAAAAAAACTTCGTCTAAAACTCTTAAAAAAACTTAATGCTAAAAAGAAGAAGTTGGCATCACTGGATAGGCTAGCAGTGGAACAGATGAAACAGGAGAAACCTGTGAGTGGAGATGTAAGCACCCCATCACAGACTGAATCTCACAATGACAGTGAATTATTGCAGAGCTTTTTAAGGGAACTGCAGTATCAGATTGATGTTGCAGATAATGAATCTGAATTTAATGTGAACTCTGTATCGGGGTGCACTAGCCGTAGTAACAGTGATGAAATACTGGCAGAGTTACTGTCCCCTACTTCAACTGTTGCTTCCTTAGAGGCTTCAAAAAGTGAAGATGAATGTATGTATATGGAAATGGTGGATAGCAGTGTTGCAGTGACAGTGTCCGAGGAGAAGACCAGTGTGCCACATGTATCAATGACAAGCGAGGACCACAATTATTACAGTCCTATAAAGGACGGTAACTTGGAGCCTTGTACGATAAGCAAACCCAGCGTGAAAAAACTTGCTTTTGAAAGCCCTACAAGGGAAGATATCCTCGAAGACCTGTTCTCCATTTCAGCCCCAAGCTCAATGGAAGGTGACATAGATTTACCTCATTTTGATGAAACTCTGTTTGAAACTTGGTAAATATTCGGTTTCTTGGTTTTAAGTATTTTTCAATATTATGTATATTTTGAAACAAAGCACTATTAAATTATATTTTCTAACTAGTTTAACTGCACACTGGCTTTACTTGAACAATTTACATTTGAAGTATTTTTTTTCTTAAAATTTTATTTTAGCAGACAGATAAGGGTTTAATGCATTTTATTTTTCTGAGAACCGGTTATTTTAGCTGTCAGATGTGATGGCAATTTTTAATTAAAAGCTCCTGTGAGTCTTATTTTTTGCTGCTTTTAATATGGAAAACTTACCCATATTCTCCTGAGTTTGAGAAATAATAAACTTCAGTAGTCTTGATGATGTAATGGTGTAAGAAATATTATTTAGGTAGTAGTGATTTATTTTACAAGATCACTCAACTCCTGAAGTTATTTTGTCTGACACTTAAAAAAAAAAGTACCTTCTGTAATCAGTAATGTTTGCATCATTTGATACAAAGATCATGTGCAACACTAAATCTGAGGCTGGTAATCTGTTAGGAACTCTTTTTTCAGAATTACTGTACTACAAGCTCACCTCATTCCTTGGATCCAACGATGGAAACATAGTAGAAATTCTCCTCTTTAAAGTTGTGGCACATACTGAGTTTTCATCCTGGGTAACTGAAGATACAATCTGGCAGAATATTATCTGAGCCAGGTTACTTTTAAAGTAAAATTAATTAGATTTGGGTAAGAGTTTAGCTTAAACTTAAATTTAATAAGATTGGGAAAGAATATAGATTTTGTTTTGCTTGACAGGAGTCTTTATTTTTAAATTCATAGACACAGAGCTGAGGGTATTATATGCCAAATGAAATTAGCTGTACATTTTGATTGTACTTGGAAATAACAAGGATTTTATCAGCAAGACTTTGTTTCAGCCATTTTTAGAGGTAGTCTGCATTTTTCATTGTTTTAGATCTCAAGTTCAAAACATTAAGTCCTCAATCTTACTCTTCCAATAGGTGCAGTTGAATGTAATTATTATTACAAGGCATGGCTACAGATTTAAATGGTCATGGATTGCTTGAACGAGGTTCAAAAAGTGTTTGAAACACTGTCAGTGGCACTGAACTCAGCTTGCCAAGCTATTTCTGTTGCAATTATGTATGTATTTACCAAACTGGCACTTCAGACAATGAATGGTTTCATTCTTGAAATATAAGTATTTTTAAAGAACTTGAGCTCCTTCCTTAAGTGTTGTAATTGGTAACTTTAAATAGAAAACGAATCAATGGATTCTGAATGTAATGTGCTGGTGTACTGCTGGTGAAATGTTTGCCTTTGTGAATTCCCTTATTAAAAAAAAAAATGCTGACCAAAATTAGAGTTTGATTTATCAGCAAATAAAATAGGTGCCTCTGCAAGACTTGAGGGGAGTGATGGGATTTTCCTGCGGAGTTTTCCAACCAGTGGTTTCTATATATGCAGACTACTAAAAAGCAGTGTGTCTCCCAGCCCTGAGTACTTGTTGCAGTGGGGTACCACCCCACTGCAATCCATCTGATACCTTCTGTGACCGACTGGATTGCAGTGACCCACAGCTGTGAAGTGAGAACTCCTTCACCGGCACCTCGGGACAAGGCTCAGACCCAGGGCCGAGTGAAGCAGCGAGCCTGGGTGGGCGTGATGTGGAATGCATAGGGCAGCATGAGGAAGAGACCCCTCTAGAAGATGAGGAAGTCCTGGTAGTAAGTATTGTATCAGGGTTAATAGCAGAGAAGGGTATGGGGCACATCTGTCGTACATGCCTAGACAGAAGGAAGAATCCCTGGTCACCACTGACAGCACCTCTGCAAACTCATGTCAGGAGTCCTCAGTCTGCAGCTGTGTGGGATACAGTGTGGGTACACATAGGTATAGAAGCTCCAAGAGCAAATAAATAGCATTTGAGATTAAGTATAAAACTAAATCTGTTAGTGCTGCAATTTTTTTGCTACCCTTTTTCTGAAATAGTTAACTAAAGATGCTTAAAGAAATAACTAAGGATGATGTTGCGCAGATTTGTCTGTTTCCATGAATGTTTTACTGCCTCTGATCCTGTGCAAGTGAGAATTCAGCTGAGGTTGAATGAAAAATCCCATGGCCAAAGAAACCATTTGGAGTTTGGTGGTTAATGGACTTTTTGTTTTGAGAGAAAGCTTTTTATTTGCCATAAAGAGAACACAAAGTGGTTTGTTAGTTTTCTGTCAGTTACAAATACACTAGGTGAGTATACAGCAAATAGTGAGCAGAAGTTAGTCACTATAATTTGGAGGTTTTATCAGTGTTACAGGGTAAATTTCCAAAAATCTAATGGCTTTGAACACTTGAAAGGATTATATTTAACATGTTTCTTCACCTCCTGCATCACATAATCTTGCCCGTCTGTGTCTTCTGATTTGGGGAAGACACAATTGTGGCACATAGAGATTTACAGCTTTTAGTTCAGAGTCAGCTCTGTAGTGGAGGTAGCACTCACTATGATTCAGATCTTGCTACTTCATGATATATTCAAACACTTTTTATCAAAGAGTACAGGGGAAGGAAAAGAGCTGCCTTCTCACATCCTGCCTACAATAAACCAGCCCATCTTCAAAGGACCTGCCTGGATGGATTTTTAGCAGTATACCTGCTAGAGCACTGTTCTAGAAATTTGCTGTGGTGCTGATTACAAATTTTGATCGTGATGTCTTTCATGGCTGGCTATTGTCATTTACTCTTCAGGCAGCATTGGGTTTTGCTTTAAATAATTGTTCCCTTCCTGACGATGTATCAGTGAGAGTGATTGTGCCTTGTCTGTGTTCCTTTTGCAAAGCTAAACAACTGCTGTTCTCCGTGTGAGCCCCTTTGGGCTCAGAGCAAAGCATGTTATGCAGATTATGCAGCTCTAAGTGTGTGCTGTGCTTTTAAAGTCCACCAGGATTCAGTCTCGGAGTGGAAGAGCTTACAGTCTAAGTATAGCTCTAAGACAGCGTGTGGACAGAGCAAGAGAGAGGAGAAGGTTAACAGGATTATAAAGCAGATGAAGTTTGCAGCATGCTTAGTTTTGCACTGCTGTGCACAGAGACAGTGTAGCTGTTTACGTGGGAGATGCTGAAGCCATGGGGCTCAAAGGGGAGTGAATGCTGGAAAAGGAGTGTAAAGAAGTAGGCCTGGCCTTTTTTAATGTAGAGACTAGAAGAGTAACCCGTTGGGGGCCAGGTACCTCCAGCCTTTATTTTCTGGAGAGAGGCTGAAGAAACACTCAGGAGATGTTTCTTGCTGGACATGCCTCTATATTACTCTTTTGTGTAACTGACTCTCTAAAGGGGCTTCTATGATGGCCAATATGGTTTGGGCTAGCTATAATCCTGTCCCATTTAGAAATGGGGAAAGTAGGCAACATGTTAAAATAGCCTATGAGCTGTAAGGGTTGGCAATCTGCTGGGAAATCCACCACAGAAGTACTTGGTGAGGAAGCATCTCCCCTTTCCTCTTTAGAAAAATGAATTTTGGTCCTGCTGACTGATCCTGTTGCAGAACCTTTCAATGCAAACACCACAGGTGAAGAGCTGAAGAGTAGGAGAGCTCCAAATTATTTTATATTCCTCTGCTAGTGGACTGTGTATTCAACCTCTTTGGCTTAAAGATGGCTCATAATTTTTATGTATGAAATAGGTATTTGAGCCTTTAAAGAGTGTTTTACAGTTCTTCCATACTGTAACTACCTTTTCTGTAAGTTATTTTTCTGTATCCGTATTTTCACTAGGAAAAGAAGTAGTTGACTTTTTAGTGTATTTTCTAAGATAGCATTTTAAACTATTTCAGTGAGTATCCATCTCTCTTCTTCCCTCTGCCTTCAAGTCTCACTTTGCCATGGGAAGATGAGATTTGTAAATGTTTTGTGCCACAGCACCATAAATGTTACCCTTAACCGGCATCATCTCTAGCCCAAACTTTGGCTGTTCCTGGGCTAACTAACCAAACATCTTCTACACCTACGGCTGTTCAGAGGCAAGCAGTGAAAATGCTATCATTTGGTGCTGGAATCATACTATTTTTGAAGTTTTTATCCACAGTTTTCTGATGATGTTCAGAACACTTCAGCTGAGATTAATTTCTCCACATGCAGGTCATCCTTCCAAGCAGAGGGGGAAAACTTTGCAGAGAGGACGTTTGTGCCGGGAATAAACTAAATCTCGGAAGCCGAGGGGCTGGGCGCGGCGCTCGCCTTCTTCCCCGTCGCAGCGGCGAGGCAGGTGGGCCCCAGCGTGGGCGATGTCCCCCACGCCGCGCGGTGCCGCCTCATGAGCGCGGGCGGGTTTCGGAGCAGTAATGAGAAAAACTGACGTCCGCGGTGACACGGGTAGGGGGAAGAAAAGATTTTGGTGTTTCCGCCCGGTTTCGAACCGGGGACCTTTCGCGTGTTAGGCGAACGTGATAACCACTACACTACGGAAACGCCCGCTGGTACAGCGGGTGCCTGCAGCCCCCCTTGAGCAGGCG